GAAAAGAGTGAAAAAGGACTTGGCCGTTTAGCCATCGTGCTCAGTAAAAGTCGAATAACTCGAAAACGAGAAAAGATTTCCAAAAAATACAAACGTAACTTTGAAGAGGAGCCTCCGGTGAATCTAATCATGTGTCAATTAGGGGCTAACCTCTCTCCTGAAACCTGCGATAGATTTCCAAAAAAAGGTTTTCAAGTTTTAGTCCTTTGGGTTTCGGGTCCTCGTAAAAATCCATTTTTGTCCTACAACTCTGGAAGTCATATGGCTAGGTGCAGTTTTCAATGCTGAATCAGAAAAACTTTCTCTCGAGACTTGAAATCTTCTACTACAAAAACTGGAGTCAAGTTTTTGAAAACGTGTTTTTTTTTGTTTTTTGATTCCTCTCGGTATTTTGACCATAGCTAGGCGAGGAAAAGGTTCTGAAGGATCGGGATGTGATATTCGGACTCGCCGTTCAATTCTCTATCGAATAGAGGCTGGAAAAACGAAATCTATTTTTCACTCAAATCTTGCTTTCCGTGCATCTTAGATAATTTAGATTATTCATTAGTCCAATTTTTACAATAAATTGACCATCATCAAGCTGGAAACATATTTTTTCTCTAATTGATGAGAAATTAGGCTCCGTGCATTTCATATTAAATATCTCAAATATATTTGAATTCCGAATTAAACTTTGTGTAGACGTGATTGAAATTTCAAATCATCGACTATTTGTTGTCCCACTAATTCTTCAATAAAAGTATGAAATTCATTGTTTTTTAAAGAAAAAACATTATCTGTAAATGAATCATCCACTGGAAGGAAAGCAATAATATGTTTTAAATATTTTATCTTAAAAAGCAGTAAGAAATAAATCCAATGGAAATAGTTTAAAAACTGTGTGCAGATTCGTATTCACGATATTCTTTTTTATAAAAATTCTAATTTTATAAAAAACCGTTTATGATAAGATGATGCATCGAGCCTATGAAAAAATACATTATCGTAAAAGATGAAATGACGCTAAAAGCGACAAAATAATAATCTCGATAATATAGAGAGCATAACTTCAAAGCTGTTGGATGATTATATTCACAAATCATAAGTTATGTTATTTCAAGACGAGTATCCGTTACAATTTCTTCCATTTCACGTACATAGTACAAATTTATTCGATAAATAATTAATAATTAAACATATTTCAACTAGATGTTCTTATTGACACATCTGTATTACCATCAAATATAATGTCATTACATGATGATAAATTTATTGATTTTGTTAAAGCAGAAGCCGGTGATGCAGCTGCTGCTCTACTTGAAGTTCAAGGTATTAATTGCGTAAAGTCGTTGCTGATGACACCTGATGTATATTCTATTATGAATGTGAAGAGTAAAAGTCTAGATGGTTTTAAAAAGTGATATGGTTTTATACAAGATGATGATACGTTTGTTGTACAACCTGGAGTGAAAGGAAATATAGATTGTCTTATGGATTTGTTAAAGCAAAAATGTATTGATGATGCAAAATTAGCTAAACGTTCCAAACATAATCAATATTATCACCACTAAATAAATCTACAGATGCATCATCAACAATAACAAATTCAACATCATCTCTTCCATCCAATCAGAAACGATAACATCAAGATCTTTTAACTTATCGATTAATGAACATAAAAAATATATAATTGATACATTGAATAGCTGGTGTGAAAACAATAAATCACAGTTTAATCTTTCACAGTTTTCTTTACTTGAAGGTCAACATTATTCTATATCAATACAAAATGATTTAGATGGCGTATTAAAAGGTAATATAAAATGTTGTTGTGAAAAATGGTTGTCATTGACATTAAGACGTGGTAAATTTCAAATGTCTAACTTCTATAGACATTTACAAGGTTTACGTAATGGTAATATATGTAATGCAATGAAAGAAATGATAAATAATTCTCAACCAACATCATCGTTATCAACAAATAATCAACAACCATTTACAACACCAGATAATGTACCTCAACAAATATTGTCACCAAATCTCGTGCCTACTATATCACCACTGGTCACAGTTCCATCAATTTCAACTTCATCTACATTATCTTCTGTCTCAATATCAACAGAGGATGAAAGTATCAGAAAACCATCATCGTCATTAGTAACGAAGAGACAAGTAAAAAGAAAGATTCAAATTATAGAACCTTCATACAACACAAGAGAATCAGCAAAAAGAACAAGAAGAAGATAAGATTTACATTTATTTGTTTGTACTTCTTAACTTAGTTCTTTGATGGTCTCTTATTCAATAAGTTTTTATATTAAATGGATGTTCTTTTAACTTAGTACTTCACTTATTCTTCTCTTGCATGCTTGTTCTGTTCAGTAATTGATTGTTTTTATGCTTATAAGTTCGTTTTTTCAAATTGTTTTTTACATTTTACCAGTGGTTTTAAACAAATATATAAAATACTGATAGTAGTATCAGTAATATATATATGTAGCTATATATAACTCGCTAAGTCAAGATCTAGATTTCGTGTGCTTTTTTCTGATTCTAGTTTTTCGATTGTCGGTTAACCGAAA